CCATATCTTTTAAGTGCAGTAAAATTTTCTTGGGCACAGCGATTTATTTATCACTCTCCTTTGTTTTTTTCATTTTATGCCTAATGTTGAAACGTCCGAACATTATTTTAGATTCGTGGTATGTTATTGTCATATCGATGTTCGAATTACGAACTTTTGTCTGGTTATTGATGTATGCTTTCATTTTCATTTCCGTTTACTGGGAAAGCAAGTTTGAACGATTGATATGCAAGTAATCTCTTCATTTTACTCTGTCCTCTGATTAAGACAAACTGTAGCTGATTTCTATTGCATTAGAACATGATTCTTAAATTACTTTACATGCAAAGAAAATACGATAACATCATTTGCTTTTTTTCCGTCCCAGCTTCGGGAGGCGTTCATCGAACAGCGGCGCGAGATCCAACGCCTCCGAAAACAATTGGCTGAGAAAGATGTCCTTATAACCCAGCTACAGAATGATATTCGGCTATACGAACCGTGGCGATAGATGATTCACAAAACAGGGAGACATTGCCTTTCGATATGCATAACTTTATTCGCCAATCTTCGTCAATGAGATCCAAAAGGTGCTAGTAATGAAACTGGAGAACAGAACCGGCTGTTGGCTTCATCCCTTACACCTCCTGAACACAAACACACACACACTAAGAGATGCTGAAAGAGACGTCATAGACAGTTTCATCCAAAGACAGACCGGAACCAAAACCAACTTTCAAATTTGAATTCCTTTGATTACGCGTTTCGATTCGATTTGTCCAATTTCTGTCGTTTTCACTTCATATCAGGACTGTTTCATTGAAGTGCTACAGTGCAACCACTTCTCGTGCCAGCATGGGTGCGCAACTTTGCAACTTCAGACAGAGGGAAAGAACAAAAAACTCCTTTTGTCTGTTCGTTCCGCTTTCTTGTACGACATGTTTCCCCTAACCCAAGACGTACCCTTATCGTCTATCTGACCTCCTCTTATCTGGTCCTCGTTTTTCTTTTACAAAGGTATCACCAGTCATTTCTACAACAGAAATACTGGCACTGAAATGCATACAATCTCTTATACATACACGTGGACACAACGCAACACAGACTGCTTTATCGATTTTTCTGTACCTTATCCTCTCGTCCTCTACCACTGGCAAAAAGCACGCGTTCACCCGTATTGGTTGTGCAATTTCACTTGTTTACATGCTTCGCAGGTTGAATGAATGTTACTGGTCACAACACCGGTGTGTTCTTGATTCATGGTTCTTCTTCTCTATTATGAGTTTCTGTTCGGTTGATAGAGATGCGCTTTCAGTGCGGTTTCAACAACATATCCGTTCTCTGGAGCAAACCGGATTGTCAAGTAACCTATGTGAGATTGGAGTGTCTGAATACACTTGATCAACGCCTTGATGTTCAAGAGCCTTTCCACAGGACTCCGAACGATCGATCGTTTTCCATTTTCCAGTATTTTGAAGCAAGGCTGGATGTGCTATCTGATCGTGGACTTACCGTGTATTCACTCTTTGATCGCTCGCACGCACGCACCAAAGTACGCACAAATGCAGGAAATAGCACGCTTACGCAGGCACACACGAGCCAAGACGGGTTCAGCTGTTTCTCTGTAGGTAATTTGTGTTTCTCGTTGACCCTGTCAGTAAGACAAATAACGGAGGCTTATAAATAAAAAACAACAGAAATGACCACCTAATGCTGGTTACAAATATCTTGGTTTCACGGGAAAATGAATCCTTTTTATTAGTGATTCAATTTACTGCAACAATCCCCAAACATACAGTGAATTCTATCAGTAATCCACTTTTGAACAAACTAGCACAAACTGTCATTGAATGGATAGGGAAAAGCTCGATTGGAGACTCTCGATATACAATAAGATTTGGTTGCTTTAGTTTGGTGCTTTGGTTTGTAGAGATGTTCGAAGGAAGTAGGCATACGTTTATTTAGGTCGATATAAGAGGGATGTTTAGCCCAGTTAAGAAGCTTATGGGGAAAGCAGTGGTATGTGTCAAGTTACTCAAATAATCTCTGAAATATATTATGCATCAAAGCATTCAGAACAAATAATTTGGTGAGAAAGCTTTCTCCAGTTATTCAATCCGAAGCCGTTTACAAATTACATGGATAACACTAGAAAAACGATCACACAGTTAGACATAACGCTAATCATGAGTAAAGGATTTTCACGGCCACTTTACTTTTGTCATTTGATAGGTTACGGATCAAAAAGCATCACCCCTACTGGTTAAGTCTAGGGCGGACCGGATCAACAAAAGGCTCCATACCAGCCGACTTAGTCGACAGTGCACATCAAATAAATCCACACGTCACTTTCAAAGTTGTTTATCGTGGCTCCCACACCGAATGCAAGGATATTCAACTAGGCAGTCTAGTAATAGCCGAAACGATCGGAATAAGAAAGTTGACCCATGACCTCTGCACCCAAAGGCGTTTGGTTCAGTCACTCCAACCGTCCACTCACACTGAGGCCATAACCTAGTTAAACCAATCGAATGACAAAAGCAATTTGACAAGGTCAAACTCATGAGTGGTGTTGTATCTGAAGGTGCGATCCGATTTCTAGTGTTACCTGCGAAGGAATTACTGAGAAGCAGTTTATGCCACTTTGTTTCTACCAAATACTTATGTAATATTAAATGGACATGATGCATCGCTGTTTAAGAGACCTAAGAGTCAGATGGAAAACCTTTGAAGTTGAACCCCAAAAGATTGTGAATGTGACGCATAGCCCATGATGTGAGTTGCACGTCACTGACGTGGGCAGTTGCAGAATTTGCTTTAATTCCGAATACGAAGCCATGTGGTTTCTTACTTTTCATTTATTTGTCATATATCTAGAACATGTAAAATTATGGTCCGAAGTCACCTTTAGACAAGGTACAAAGAAGGGTGATAGATTTATACATTGTTGACTGATGCGCTCGTTGATCGAAAAATTCGCCCGTAGTAAGGATAAACAGCACATCCGTGAATTTTGACTAATTCAGAATTGAGAACCAAACATCTGATCATGGACAGATGTGTGAGAGGCCATTTTATAGGTTAGCGAAATCTCCTTCAGTAGAATAGGATGTGCTAAACGTCACAAGGGAAGTATACTTAAAAAAGAAAGAACTAGTTTTCTTTAGTGTGGAGAACATATAGAATGAAAAGCGATAGGGTGAAGATATGGTTCCCAGAAGAAAAACGAAAAGTGCGTTGGACAGGATGAGCACTTTTACCAAAGACGGGTGAATTATATTCGGTCAGTGTTCGATAGTAAGTTAAAGGCAACTGGTTATCTCAGTTAGAGATTTCGAAACCAAACGTTCTAAAATATCTTGCGTCAGTTTGTAATCTCGATATGTATTTGTATATTTATTTTAATGTGCTCACTCATCGATGCAAATTATACCCACAACGATCAAGAGTACAAACTAAAATTTTCACAAATTGTAAGACAAACGGCAGTGAGAAAGCTGATATCTCTGAAATATCTACTGGGTAACACATCGAGAAGTAAATCACATTGGAAGATAGAGCACAAAAAAGCCAGGTTTCACTAGTTATGCCAAGGTAGATTTCTCTTCACCTTAACTGGTAGTATACGGTAGAGATCTACAGTTNGAGATCTACAGTTTATATCGTTGAACAGTACATCAGGTTACACAGGAATACAACAGAGACAAATCAGCTGAAATGCAGTGCAATCTGCTTTGGCATAAATCGTGCAACATAAATTTGTGCTCTTTCTTCACGTTTTTCTCGGTAACTACTCATTTCAGGTTTTTACTTGCTCGTCTCCCGCAAATCACATTGTTTAATGGGATAAAGCTTCTGAATATTACACTATTTAGCTAACAAAACAAGGTACTAATTATTGGTACTCTGTAACTATTGCGTTACAAAATGTGAGTTTATGGATGTGAATGCGAAATTCCCTGTGGCCGGAACACGATGTTCATTCCACTTAGGCTGTTGCGGCGAGACCTGGTGAAGGGGACGAAACAACCTGATAAATTCACATAAATGACCAAAATAAACAAGGTATGAACAGAATGCGCAATCTGTTAGCACTCAACGTTTGAAGGTTTTGTATCTCCCATTGTTTTCCATTCAGCCTAAATTCCGAATGAATATCCCACCGAAAATATGAAACGTTGATTTCTTTTCCGGTTCATCTCTTTTTGTACTTGATTTTATTGCTCTCTTTTTTAACTCGAGAAATATAAATTGGGGTTTGTTCAATGAAGAAGAAGAATCACTGAAAACAAATCTTGTTTACCAAATTGTGTTATAATGAAAACGTTTACTACTGGTCTGTGGGCTGAGATACAATGTGATCTCAATTCTATTACCAGATTTGAATTATCGCAGAAAATGCAACTCGTAAGATCAAAGTCTGTACAGTAAATATGCAGAGGTGGCGGGGCCATTATGAATGACTACGGTAATTGGGTGTTTAGACTCCACTAGGTACGGACTGATCGAACTGTGTTGTCTCTGCACTAACCAGCCAAGCTCAGTGATAATGATGAACACTTTCTGATAAAGGTCTGCATCTTCACCTACAGAAGGCTATGTATATGATTGTATACAGGAAGAAACTGAAGGAATAGGATATTCATCTTTGAGTTACTAAGACTAGAGTGACCAGGTGACGAACATAATTCAAAAGCTCTCTGTGATAAACCTTTTATAACCACAGATGTGATCATTTTACATGTTTTCATCTAGGTAGTTGTGTTGCTGTTTAAGGGTAGCTGTACCTGTGTTGTTTTTTTCCAACGATAGTTACTTGCTCGACATCTGGCGATGCCTCAGAATGTCCGAAAATCATTCTGGGTACACTTTCCGAAGGCAAATTTCCCGAAAAGTACTGTAATCAAGAATAAGGCTTACGATGGTGCTTACCGTTTGTTTTGAAAACAAATGAAAACAATTATATTATTCTATTTTGGGGAAACGTACATAGTAGTGTGCTTGGTAAAGTTTATTCGTCAAGCTGAGCAAACGTGTCACTCACCACTGAAAGGTATTAAAATAAGATAGCAGCTGTTTCATCATTGGTGGGAATCATCGAAAATGGGGTTTGAACCCAGTGGTGATGAGTTGATAATCTGACGCACTAAACCCTTGGGTTATCCGGGTTGCATCTAAAGGTGAATCCCAAAAGTTACCAAAATAGATCTGATATGAATAATCTGAAGTTAAATTAATGAAGTATTTTCATGTGAGTAATAGAGAATTTGATTCAATTTCAAATGGGAATTCGTTGTGTATATAGCAAATAAGGCGTGAATTGAAAATGTAGGAAGCACTGGGCAGCCATTTCGACCTGATTGGATCTCACCAGCAGAGCGAATCCATCGACCTAACTGGGGATCGAACCTGCGACCTCGTGGATAGAGCGCAAGAATGCTACCCACTAGGAAACCGGGCTGCTGAACAAACGGCTTTTCATTTTCTACCTCATGTATTTTCAAATGCAAA